GAGGGAGAGCCCCCAGGGGCCCCCGACTCTGAGCCCAGAGGGTTGGGAGGGTGGGTGCTGGGTGCCGCCCACCTGGGAAGCCGCCCCCTCCCCCCACTTCCAGGGGCCAAGCCCCTGAAACTCCCTGAGGCTCACCTGCAAAATGGGGGGGATGTGGGGGAGGTGGAAGGGGGAGTGCTGAAGGTCCCTGGGCCCCGGGACCGAGATGGCCGAGGCCTGGGGCAGGGCTGGAGCTCGGGGATCAGAGCTGCCTCCTTGTGAAGGGAGGAGAGAGGGGAGAAGAGGCCCAGAGACACTTTGAAGCTTTTGTGTCCCCTGGGCCGCCTCCGCCAGATGCTGGATTCCTGCGCCTGACAGGTGGGTAGGGAGCCCCCTGGTCCCAGGGGCCAAACTCCCCAACAGGTGAGGCTTCCTCTGACCCGGGAAGCCGGGCTGCCTGCGGGACTGATTCCCGGGTTCCTTGGGGAGGAGGGGGCCGGGGGCCCGCATTCCTGGGTCCTGGCACCCACCCGTAGAACCGACCTTGCGGGGCCTTCGCCGCACACAAGCTCGTGTCTGTGGGTCCGTGTCGGGGGCTCACCATCGCAGCGGGGGCCTCCCCGGCCCTCCCCACCCTCCCTGGCCCTCGGGGGAGGGGGACCCCCCTCCCGCGTCTGTCCGTCCATCCGTCTGTCTGTCCACCTGCCGCGCCCCCCGGGCTGAGGTAGGAGGTTGTATAGTTGAGGAGGACACCCACGGAGATCGGCTCCTGGGGGGCTGCCTGCCTGCCGCAGGGACCCTGGGAGGAGGAGCAGCAGTGAGCAGGGCTGCCTCTCCTGTCCTTGTTCCTTGGTTTCCTCCTCCCCTTCCCGCTAAGACTTTCCCCTCCAGAACCCGCCCCGTCTGCTTTCTCTGTCTCCCATCGCGGCTGTGTCCTGCGCTTCCCTTGTGTCTGCACAGTGGCCTCGGCCTCTCCATCTCTCTCTCATTGTGCGTTCTGGTGTCTCCCCGTGTCTGACTTTCTGTCTGGGGCGCTCACAGCGTCTCTCTCTGATTCACCCCCACACACACCCCGCCCCGACTCCCCGGGGCCTGTCGGGCCACCGCACACCATACTGCCGGCCTCTGGGTCCCTGAGACCCTTTAACCTGTGAGGACGTCCAGGATCACAGGTGAGGTTCTTGGGAGCCTGGCATCCGGCCCAACCACAGCCTGAAGGTTGCAGGCCCGACACCTGACCCCTGACCCCTCTCTCCTTCCTCCCTGCAACCCCACGCCTGACATCTGACCCGCAAAAGAAATCGGGCCTCTGACCTCAGACCACAGGCCCCTCCCCTGTCCCACAGTGACCTCACAAAGGTCACCGGCTTCTTCCCAGGCCGAGCCCCCTCTGCGATGGCCCAGCTGGCTGCAGGCAGCGCTGTGCCCTGCGCCCTGGTGGCCCTCGCGGTCTTCGGGGCCCCAGCCTGGGCCTGTCTCCTCTGCTTCACATCCTACAGCGAGCGCATCCGCATCTGCCAGACCTTCGCGGGGGTGGCAGGCCGGAAAGTGGAGAAGTGTGAGGAGGCCTTCGAGGCTGCCTTTAAGGGCCTCCTGGACACTGAAATCAGTGAGGAGACCCCGCCACCATCCTCCAGGGCCCTGGGGGGTGTGAGGAGGGAGGGACCGGAGAGGCCTGGAGAGACCCAGGAAGAGGGAGACAACAGACTGGTAGATGGGAATGGGGGACAGAGACTCGGATGCGAGGATAGAGGCCGGACAGAAATGAGGGACAAAGAGGCTAGACAGGCAGACAGGAGGCTAGAGACTGGGGGACAGACACTCAGAGGCACAGGAGGCTAGAGATGGGGGGCAGAGACTTAGAGAGGGAAAGGTAGAGACTGGAGGTAGAGACTCAGAGAGGGGAAGATAGAGGCTCAGGGGACAGACTCGGAGGGGAGGAGGATTTATTTTTTTATTATTATTTTTGTAATCCTCAACCCAGGATATTTTTTCACTGAATTTAAGAGAGAGTGGAAGAGAGAGGGAAAGACAGAGAGAAACATCGATGTGAGAGAAACACATCAATTGGTTGCCTTCTGCAATC